CAATGAGAAAATGCAACATATTCATGTAGGAGAAACACATAATATCACCCATACCCTACAATAGGGTAGTACTTGTAAACATGGTTCAGATTCGAATCGTTCAATGTAAAGTCCGTAAACGAATCAACGCTTTAGTTAGTAACCCATACCTCTCTATCGTTGCTTCTTAGTATAATATAGCCATTGAACTTATAGAAAAAAACATATTCCCCTGGCACTGTGTCTCTTACCTGCCTCACACCTTTGACACACAGGAACCACCGTGGGAACGTGAATATAGATTCGTTATTTCATAACTATATTTAATAAACACAGAAAGTAAATAGAAACAAATCGTATTGAGCTAATTAACAAATAAAGCATTCTCTACGGCCCCATGTGTGAAATAATTTTCAACTGACATATGATAGCAATCATTTAAATTGGAAATTGTAACGTACCGTAAGAATTTAGGCTTTTATTGAGTAAAAAGTACATGTATGTACAAATTCACTTACATCAATAATAATGTTTGTTATAAGTTTACAATATAAAAGCAGTATATATAATTATATAGCTGTATTATTGGATATTTCTAAAGCATCTTGAATAAAATGTATCCAGATTCTTTTAAATATAGTACATTTTTTAAATGAAAGATTTATTTTAAATAGTTGCCTTATTGTTAATGTATGATAGTTAATTAATAATGAATAATCAAAAACGATGTAAATGATAAGTCCCATGTACGTATTAGTGATATTAACATCGTTACTGACTGACACAAACGGACACATTGACAGCGGCGAAGTTAGATTCCGTTGTCCAGGAAGGCAGACTAAGGTCCATATTCGATTTGAAATTCTTTCACTGCATTTTTAATAGTACAAAAATATTGAATTTATTTTGTACAATAATTAATTAAAGTATATTAGTAACATGCTATTAAATCAGGAAAATTTTAAAATTAGAATATGATGCAATACAATAAATACTATCAAAACATCTGCATATTCTGTTCTTGATTCATACTTTTTAATAAAGTTCATTTCGTCGATCGCGATCATGTGTATATATTTTATAACAAGTGTGCGCTTTTTACTCCTAGCACAACGTTTGTGTTTGTTCCTAGGAAACATGAAGTGATGGCTTACATCCAAAGTATTCTTAATAATGTGTTATGGAAAACCATCCAGACCAATATGTTCTTTCAAAACTTCTTGCCGTGGTGATATTCGGCATTATTCGTAAGATAGTTGTTGTCATTTAATTCAATCTTCCCGGCAGCAAAATCAATTTTTGGCAGGCCGAGCGACCTACCAGAACCCACATTTGGCAACTGGTTTTCTCCGGCGAATATTTTCAAGAAAACAAACGCTGCACCGAGTGACGGAAATAACTCCATGGAAAGTGGATCACCTCCTCGTTCTATGATAATGACCTAAAATACATGTAATGTAATTTATAGAATACATTATATTTCCAAAGTATTTAACTGTATTACGGGTTGCAATTATTAAAAAAGGAAAGACTCTTTCGATTTCCTATTCCCCTGCAAAATAGATATATAATTGACATGATGCACGAATAGTCTATTATAAAAGTATGAAGTATATTAATTTTATAATTTCTCGTTTAAAATGTATAAAAATTCGAATGAAAACTGATAATTGATTTCCAGAGAAATAACAATAGTACAGAGCAATACTGTCCAAAGCTATCAAGTAAATGCCCGGGTAACTAGATAAAAATACATAATATTTAGTGCTTTTCAACATTTCTGAAAGATAATACCTTTGGGACATAAATCAGGAGATTAGTCAGTATTGTTGTGAATAATATCAGACATCCAGTTGTGATGACCAAAGCATTCGGTTCAGTCGGGATCAAGAACAAGATAACAACCAATACAATGCTGGACAGCAGACTTATGAAGACAGCTACAGCAAAACCGAGATGGTGAGTATATCCTTTCTTCATTGACATAAACCTTGAAAGTTAATACAATCATTTTAACTTTCGATACATCTTCATCCAATCACACAGTACAATACATACACTTACAAATACAACTACTAAACGCTTTCTTTAGTACCAACAATTGATAAGATAATTATATATTTTGCAACAAGAAAACTAATGACAAATTTCAATATTCACCAAATTGTGATTTTAAAAAATAATCTCGCATATTGTAGTTTTCATAGAGTCAAAATGTGACGAACATATTCCTCAGGGTAAAAAATACTGAATCTATAAGGTGAGCCGAGAGAATTTTATCCTGGGTTTTGTTTTTGGCCAAAATCCAACATATGACTGTCCAAAATCTGTTGCGCTAATTTCCCTCCTCCTTTAACTTAATTTGAAATACATGTACATGTAAACGGGAGATTTGAGTGAAATCGATCGGGCAAACAAACTTCCATATGGCGTTATTTGATATAAAGGTTTCTTTGTCAAAGAAGTAAGACGTAGATTTCCTTTATTCTTAAAACATACCTTAGCTTATAATTAAAGATGCAACAATTAGTTCAACGATCATCGACCAGTTTCAAAATATAATTTAGTTTGGATATTTCATCAAGACTAACATATATTTTTATTATCTACAAAGAAACCCCCTGGATGAACATTATTTCAGCTGATATTCCTCTTGAAACGTGGTGGATCTTAAAAATCTATAAGTGGGGCTCCCTTCATAGAAGCTTTAAACTGAATTTACACTTCTTAATGCTGAAATTTATTAGTTTATCCATACATTTTAAGAAAATGGGTATTGCAAAGAAGGTATAAGCCATATATTGACCTGATAGCTCAGAAAAAATCAAAAAAAATCGAATTTTCTCTCTACAGTCCTTGTTGCCCCTTTAAGGAAGTTTTTTCCCCAAAAAGGCATCCTCCTTCCATTCAGGCCTCTGTTTCGGTCGATGGGTAATGCTAGTTAGGTGACTTACTTTCCAAATTTGGGGAGATGACCATTTAAATATATATGGTGGTACGGTGTATGCTTATTAGATTCGAGGCCAATGTATATAGGCTTAATCTCGTTGAGAGCCACAAATCGACTTTGTATAATCAGTATTGTTTTAAAATTACTATGAAGTAATTCATTCGTTAAGAATTGACGACCATTTACCTTTCTTGTTGCAAAATGTCTGTTCTTGCTATACGTTCCAAAATATGACGAAACAGCTTCAGAGCAAGCAATGGTTCCTTCGAGAACTTTCGATACTTCAGATGCATTACATCCGTAATCGGACGCATCTATGTTATCAATAGCAGTTCTCGGAAAATAGGCCAATAACACGTGATGCCTTCCATAAAGTCCAAGCCTATAAAGCGAATACAATAATTCAATGATTATACACTTTCTATTGTTATAACATTAGAGTTTGTCTAAATAATAATTAATTTTCATGATTTAAGACATGTTTCAAAAGCTTGCTTGAACTTGTTAAATGCAAGAATTTCCAGTCTTTTGGAAACATCTTTGCAAGACATTTTAAATCATCAATGACCACAATATGTGAAACTGTGTAAAGGTGTTGGGGTTGTTTGTAGAATGAATCGGGAGAGTTTCTCATGCATTTTGCTTTGTTTTGAAATACACTTTAAAACATTTTATTGAGAATAAGATTGCACCATATAATCGCCCCAAAATATGTTTCATTCTCAAGGATTATCCATGGATTTAAACACATGTATTTTTCAAACTTCAGAGGACTGTGAATCATTGATCCTAAACGCCTTTGAATAATATAAGTGCTGTTTTCAATATGTTTCATACATGCAAATAATTTCTCAAAGTGTGTAAACTGTACACATTCCTTAATTCCTTGAATTTTCTCTGTGAGCAATTTCTCATTAAATGAATCACGCTAATGGTATAAATTTCAACAATGAATCACGTTAATGGTAACATTTCAACAATGAATCACGTTAATGGTAACATTTCAACAATGAATCACGTTAATGGTAACATTTCAACAATGAATCACACTAATGGAAACATTTCAACAATGAATCACGTTAATGGTAACATTTCAACAATGAATCATATTAATGGTATACATTTAAATTAATCATACCTTTTTTTCTTTTTTTTATTGCATCTTTCTTACACAAAACATTATACATAATATACACACAGATCAAATCCATATACATTGAATATTCAATAATATTATTACATATTTATATTTAACAGTTATACGTTTTAAGCTTTTCAGACCATCTCCATTCAGAGTATTTAATTTAACTTAATTTAAAAGGGTACCATTTGAAAATACAATACATGCAACACGATTATCTTTCAATCGTATTGGGCTGACAATATTTTAATATAAAAGGGTATAAAGTAAAACAAAAAATTCAATGCTGTTGGTTTAATCTATCTATAACCCATCTCCAAGTCTCGCCGAAACTTTCCAATGTGCCATTTAAGTTTGCAATATTTCGTTCGTCATTGATTTTGTATTTCATGATTTCTTTTATTTGCATAAATGTTATTTTAGTATTAACGAGTCTTGATTTATGTATTAAGCTTTTTATATACAATATGCAAAAGTTAATTGCTTTAGAAGTGTGGTCGCGTTCTTGATTTATTTCCCCTACAATTATGTCTTTAATTGTAAGATCAATATTGAAAAAAAATTTAAAGTCATCCCAAATCTTGGCAGAGTTTGGGCGTGTATCGTATCATCTATTTTATCGTTTTTACAAAAGTCGCATAAATTTGATTTTTTTATTTTCTTTCGAGCTAAAAATTGGTTATTTGGTGTAACGATTAAAACAAGTTTGTATTTAAGGCATTGTATTCTCGGTTCTCGAACCGTCTTAAAAGGTAATGTAAAAATGTATTTCCAATTTTCTTCTGTAAAGTTGAATTTTGAATTTAGATATTTTTTCCCGTTGGGTTCTTTAAATAAATTATCTACGAGAATCCAATATATGGTTTTAGTTTTTATAGATTTGACGTTTATTGTCGTGTTTTTGATTTGGAGTTCTTCGTCTTTTAGTGCCTTGTTGCTTCGATTGTTTTCAATATGTTGTTTCCAGGAGTGTGGAATTGCACGAATTAAGCCATAGAAAGTAACGAAAGGTGTAAATTAATCATACCTTGCACAATACTTTTGCAAAATCCCTGGTGAGTTGAGCAAACGAGACAAATATCCGGATGCCCTTAAACTAAAAAAAAACGTATAGAAATATTTTATGTGTGAACGTATTATTATACACCATTATCTTGGCTAAAAACCATCATTCTCGATCTTTTTAAATAATTTTTGTGAGTGTTTAAGCTCAAGTCGGTCTTTGTGTTCAATTAACAAATGCTTTACTTTATTCCTTTAGCTCTCCTAACCGAGTCTAGCCATACAATACATATTTTGTTATTTTTAAAAACATTTAGCGATATACTAGATATAATAAAGGATCACAGAAGGTATCGCAACAAATTTTAAACAATCATATGTTGGATTGTGGCTATTTTCCGAAGATTTAAAAATGTGCGTATGTTAGGCGCATTATCTAAAGGAAAAGTACTCATAGAGATGATAAAATAATTTGGACTTCGAGACAAGGGAGGTGACAAGCATTTTTTCAAAAAAAAATCCTGATTTTCAACCCCTTCCCTCGTTTTTTAATGCTTTATGCATTAATATGTTGCATTTGGAGACACAGTTATAACCTCTTAAAAGGAAATTAGGACTCAATCGGTATAAAGTGGAAACAATATTGTCCATGTTATTTTCCCATAGGGAAAACTCATGCGATCCATTGTTTTCAGCTTAATTTTGATCACCCAGAATTGATATCTTTTGAATCTGAAAATTTTCTAATCTTCAGTTTCAAAGTCCAAATTATTTTATCAACTCTATAAGTGATAGTCCTGGAGTTAATGGATTTGCCTAAGATATGCACCTCTTCAAATCCTTAGAAAATAGCCAAAATCAAACAGGTGACTGTATGTATGCTGACGACATTGCTTTGATAGCTGAGACCCCTCAAGATCTTCAGCGCATGCTTAATGTTGTAAACCAGTGGTGTAGGAAATGGAGACTCAGCATAGGTCAGAAAAAACACAAAAATCGTTCACTACAGACCAACCTCTAAACCAAGATCTACATATCAATTTAAGTGTGGAATAAAATCAATAGAACATACTGAAAAATTTAAATACTTGGGAGTATGGCTTGAAGAGCATGTCAACCCCCAAATAACAGCAAAGGAAATTGCTAAGTCTGCAAATTGTGCCTTATGTGTAATAATGTCAAAATTCCAACAAACTGGAGGCATGGATATAACTGTTTACAGCAAATTATATGACACTGTAGTGCAACCTGTGATCAACTATGGCTGTTCATTGATAGGTAATAATGAGCACAAGTTTATAAATGCAGTCCAGAATAAGGCATCAAAATTCTTTCTTGGTGTCGGTGTCAAAACAAACAACGAAGCAGCTCGAGCGGACCTTGGATGGGACTTACCACTTCACAAACAACAGATTGAGAGTGCACGTCTTTTATACGCCTGCAAAATTTGGACAAAGATAGGTTAAACTCAAAAATACATCATTGGTCCTTAAGACGTAAAAAAGTTGGGACTACAGAGTCTACAAGTTCATAGAGGCATCAGGCCAAGGGAATATAACTCAAATGGAAAACTTAAATGCTAAAGCTATTTTAGAAGAGGTCAAGCTTTATCAACAATCACAAGATCCCTTTCTAAAAAACATTTGGAATGACAAAAACAATGAAGAGAACGGTAATAAATTAAGAACTTCCAGGCAATTTAAGTATGGAGTAGTAGCAGAAAGTTATGTAACTTGTTTCATCCCAAGACACCATCGAAGTGCATTGGCTAAACTGAGAACTGGGACGCTACAACTCCGTATAGAAACTGGTAGATATGATGGTACTCCTCTGGACCAGAGAACATGCAAACTCTGTGATTTGGATGAAGTTGAGAATGAAATTCATTTTCTGATAAAATGTCAACACTATAAGCTCCTAAGGGGTACCTTCTATAGAGAGATTGTGCAAGAGCAATTGCCATATATAGACTAGAATAATGCAAATTCACTTTTGACATTTATTAGCCTTATGCTTGCCAAGAAGGTTAAAAAAACTCTAGCAGCTCTTATTCATAATATGTATTCAAAAAGGCAATTTGACAATGGCAGATTATAGGAGTTACATTTGTGAAGTCCAGACTTGGTTAAAACTGATACTTTTTAGAATTAAAGATATAACTAGGCAGCAAGTGTGTGTCCCCAATCTGTTATAGTCATATTCCAGCACTTGACTGCAAAATGTATTGTATCAATACAGTTTATTTATGTTTGCATGCATATTCATTTATTGTGATAATGGCCATTAATAGAAAAATATTTGTCAAAGCATTTAAAGATGGCAGCACTTGAATACTACTCTATTTAAGAGTGCTCTTAGTCAACTTACTCTCGTCAATACTATTACAGTTAGATATACATTTAATGGTGTCTCCTAAGCCGATGCCGGCTGGTGGTTTTTTTTAAAAATATTTATTATATGATATTGAATGTAGTTTTTAAACCTGTGACACAGAAATAAAATATTTTAAACTTAAAAACTTAAAACTGTCTGAAATCTGTTGCGATACCTTCTGTCGTTCGTCATCTACTTATCAAGCATTATCAATAAAGTCTCTCAATAAAGCATATGTTTTTGGCCAACTATGTAATACTGCATTGTATTGTGTATTTAGTGAGCTTGGCATAGCTATGATTAATGTATAATGATTAGCTGGACTTTGTAGAATTGCCATACTGGCTTGTACCTTTAATGGTTCCCAAATAACATCAGGTGAATATCTATCGAACAATATGTCGGCATAAACGTCTATGTTTCGATCCGCTAGTTTCTTCTTAAACACATCTGCGGCCTTGTAAAATGAAATGCTTATTGACCTAGAACATGCACTCAAGAACACATTTTGCGATAAGGATTGTAATTTTGCATTTAACTCAAACATTGAATTTGCATATAGTTTGTCTTGTGTCAAATATAGGTATATTAAATTATATTATATTTCTGCATTCAAAATGGAAGTAATTCTAATTTGAGTTATGTATGCCATTTTGTTTTGATGTTGTATACTACAAATTACATTAAGAGTAAAGAAATCACGGTACAAGGTTGAATACCACCAATATATCAGTTTATTTAGTATCAGCGCTTTATTATTTGAAATCTGATATGCAG